TCAATGGGTTAAAGCCTCTGCCTTTGGCTCGGGTCATGATCTCAGGGTCCTGGGATCGAGCCCTGCATCGGGCTCTCCGCTCCGTGGGGAGCCTGCTTCCTCCTCTCTCTCTGCCTGCCTCTCTGCCTACTTGTGATTTCTCTCTGTCAAATAAATAAAATCTTTAAAAAAAAAAAAGATTTATTATTTTTTAAAGTGTTATTTGAGAGAGGGAGAGGGGAGAGCACAGAAGCAGAGTGAGAGGGAGAAGCAGACTCCCCGTTGAGCAGGGAGCCCAACGTGGGGCTCGATCCCACGATCCCGATCATGACCTGAGCTGAAACTAAGAGACGCTCAACTGAGTCATCCAGGTGCCCCTAAGCACTTTTTTAAAGTAGCTGTCAAGTGTTACTTGATATCTTCAACATGTTTTAGAAATCCTCAAACAGTATATGGTCTTATTTTTAAAGATTTTAAGTAATCTCTAAATCCAGTGCGGGGCTTGAAGACCAAGAACCACATGCCTTTCTGACTGAGTCAGCCAGGCGCCCCAGGATAGGATCTCTGACTTCAAATTTGTTGCTTAATTTCTTAATGTTGTGTGAACTTTTTTTTTTTTAAATATTTTATTTTTAAGCAATCTCTATATCCAAGGTGGGGCCGGAACTCACAACCCTGAGATCCAGAGTCGGATGCTCCAACAGAGCCAGCCAGGCTTACCTTTCAATGTTCTATGAGCTTGAAGGAGGTTGTGAGATCACAGTAGAACATTTTATCAGTCTCTGGAAAGACTTATCTTCTATTCTCTGAGTAGGTCTATCTTTTAGAGAAAAGAAGGCACCTCATACAACTTTGTATTTTAGCCAAGAAGGTGCTGAAAAATCCTTTCCTGTTCTCATCTGCTTAGGTGCTGGAGCAAAAGCTTGAATCTTAATCTTGTCTGTGCTAGACTAAGAATATTGCTACAAGGTAATAGAGAAGTCAGTGGTTCCAGTGTTTTATTCCTATTTGAATACGTGAAACAAAACTCGCTTAGAAATAACCTGGCACATTGTTAGAACCACTACTAACTCCTTACTATGTGGAAAAACCAGGTACTTGAACATGAAAGGTATTTTTTATTTTCCATGGAATTGTATGTCCTTGCCTTTAACATAAAACGAAAATGAATTTTATGGGGCGCCTGGTTGGCTCAGTTGGAGAAGCAAGTGGCTCTTGATCTGGGGGCTGTGAGCTCCAGCGCGTGCTGGGTGTGGAGATTACGTGAGAATAAAAAAAAAAAACAAAAACAAAAATGAATTTTAATACTTTGCTTTTAATCATCAGTATAAACATTTCTTCAGTTTCTTACACTTATAGCCTCTTAATTTCAGTATATATATTTCTATATACTTACGTGTGTCTATTTACAATGTTATCCACTAGATTATTTTTTTTTAAAGATTTTATTTATTTATCTGACAGACAGAGATCACAAGCAGGCAGAGAGGCAGGCAGAGAGAGAGGAGGAAGCAGGCTCTCCGCTGGGCAGAGAGCCCGATGCGGGGCTCGATCCCAGGACCCTGAGATCATGACCTGAGCCGAAGGCAGCGGCTTAACCCACTGAGCCACCCAGGCGCCCCTCTACTAGATTATTTATGGTAACTTTGGCCTGATTAGTTGGTGGTAAGGCCCTAACCACTTGATGGTGACAAAATCAGGAAAGCAGGGTTAGGTCCTTACAAAATGTGTTTGATTCTTTTTCACATTTGCTAATGAGTCTGAAAAATGCTTGATTTTGATCAGAAACTTGAAAATGACAATGACAACTCAAGTCTCTGAGCATATCTTAAATGACATAAAAATTACCAGTGGCAAAGAAAAAAGCTCTTATTACATTTAATAGTGTTAATTTTGAAGATATTGCACATTTCCATGAAGGATAACCTTCAAATGATGTGTTCAACGTAGAAACTGGTACAAATTTTGGTTAGTTTGTTAAAAAACAAAATGTTCTAAGACATGTTACGAACATTACTTTCATCAAAAAAGTGAAGAGAATTTTTATAGTTGTTTGAGGTGCTGTAATATGTCGAGTGATATTCCCAGCTGTTTTACTAAACCGGCTGTCTGTTCTAAAATCCAAGTGAGGCTTGGGTTTTTAGAATGTTCACGCTCCTGTATTCCACAACATTCTAAAGATGAACAACCTGCCTCACTAAGGCTCTTGCTGCAGTTTTTGTGAAGCTCAGCGTTATTTTCACAGAGTCTTTCATCTTTAGCTTCATCCATCTTTTTCTCAGCTGGAGCTACGTGACAAAGGTCCATATCCTCAATAGAGTCCAATAAATCTACAACGTGGGGCGGGGAAGTGATTGATTTTAGATGTTTGAGCACATACTCTTCACACTGGCCAACTGCATCCAGAAGATTATTTATTTTACTGATCAGAGCCGAACCATTATCATGAAGGTGACACCAGGAGAGCAAGGCACTGAATGAAAATATTAACAAGAGTTAAATAGGAAAAAAAATGAAACAATCACAGGCTTTTCAAATTTTTGATGCTAAACCCTACACGTTTCTTTTGCAGATAACACAATGCAAAAATGATTCAATAATAATGCAAGTCAAAATCAGGAAAGTAATGATGCTAAAATGGCTTTTAATGTATATAAAGATTTATCTTTTGATAAAAATTAAACTGGAGGGGCACCTGGGTGGCTCAGTGGGTTAAGCCTCTGCCTTCGGCTCAGGTCATGATCTCAGGGTCCTGGGATCGAGTCCCGCATCGGGCTCTCTGCTCGGCAGGGAGCCTGCTTCCTCCTCTCTCTCTGCCTACTTGTGATCTCTCTGTCAACAAAATAAATAAAATCTTAAAAAAAAAAATTAAACTGGAAGTAATCATATAAACTGCTTATAATTCCTAACACCTTCTTCACAACTCCACATCCACTTTTCTTGATTTTAGATTTTTTCTTTATGACTGTGTAGCTTCCGCTGAAGAGGGATGCAACTCAGAGGAAGAGATCACAAAAATCAGTTTCTCCTTGAAGGACATCACACGGCTTCCGGACTAGTGATTCTCAGACTTGGATGTACATTGGAATCACCTGGGCGGCTCTTAAAACTGTCAAGGCCTAGGTCACATCCCAGACCAATGAAATCAGAATCTCTGGGGTTTTTATTTTTTAAAGCTTCCCAGCTGATATCAAAGTACAGCCAACGTTGAAAACAACTGCTCTAAGCATATAGTTACTTGCCATCAAAACTAAAGGGTAGAAAAAAAGTTCTGAGGCAACTTTCCCGACTTTGTTATAATCACTGTTGAATTAACTAATCATCTTCTTAGAGAAGGTAAGAATGTGGGACGCCTGGATGGTTCAGTCGGTTGAGCATATGACTTTGGCCTAGGTCATGATTCCAGGGTCCTGGGATCAAGTCCCACATCGTTCTCCATCTGCCTGCTGTTCCTGCTTGTGCACGTGCTCTCTCTGACAAATAAATAAAATCTTAAAAAAAAAAAGGTAAGAATTCTTCTAGCCTTTTTCTACTACAGACAACACTTTTGTTTTCTGACATTTCAGATTGTTCAGGTAACCATGACATAAAATAATGGTTACTGAGAAAAGTAATCCTGTCTTTTTTTTTTTTTTTTTTTTTTTTTTTTTTTTAAAGAGAGGGAGAGAGAGGTGGGGAGGAGAGGCAGAGAGAGAGGGAGAGTGAGAATCCTAAGCAGGCTCCATGCCCAGGGTCCACCCTGACTTGGGGCTCAGTCTCACAACCCTGAGATCATGACCTGAGCAGAAATCAAGAGTTGGACGCTTAACTGACCCAGCCACCCAGGCGCACTGAAGAATAATCATGTTTTAAAAATGGAATCAAGTGATATACAAGATTTAGTAATAAATTTTCTGAGCTTGTAAAAGATTTAACTTGATGTAAAATGAATACTTGATCATTTTCCTACTGGAGACTTATAAATTCCGATTTCTGACAGCTGAATTTTCTAAAATCTCAAACAATGAATTTTTTTGTTTTGCTAACTTTTATTTCCTTTTTTAAAATTAGTGATTCTTTGAACCATTTTATGTTTTTTGTTTGTTTTCTACGGAGGACAATTTAAAAGGTATGTGTCGTACCTTTTAGTGTCAAAGTGTCAAAGACGACAAGTCTGTCATGCTCCTAGCTCTTTCTGTCATTTGACCACTTGGCTCTGATATATGCCATTATTACTACGGAATCTTGACAGGTGTTCAATGTCCAGCACTAAAGTAAATGGAATCATTTTTCTCTCTATTACCAGTTATAATTTTCATCATTTCTAGTCTAGAAGTCTGTTATACTGTGTTCTGCCACATGTGCAAGATTAAAAGCTTTATTCAAAACCTGAAGATCTTTTAAATTACTTTGAGATACAGATTAGTGGTAGTTTAGGCAGCAAAAGATATACACCTTCCTAGCATTTCTTTGCCATAAAGGACAATACCTTTATTGTTGTCCTTTATTAAAGTGGATGAACTTGTTAAAGTTCACATATTAAAGTAGATGAACTTATGATTTTGACTTTTTTTTTTTTTTTTAAAGATTTTATTTATTTATTTGTCAGAGAGAGAGAGAGGGGGAGAGAGCAAGCACAGGCAGACAGAATGGCAGGCAGAGGCAGAGGGAGAAGCAGGCTCCCTAATGAGCAAGGAGCCCGATGTGGGACTCGATCCCAGGACGCTGGGATCATGACCTGAGCCGAAGGCAGCTGCTTAACCAACTGAGCCACCCAGGCGTCCCTGATTTTGACTTTTTGAAGGCAATATTATTCTGTGCTCCACAGTACCCTTTTGTGGATTTAACACTAGAAAAAGTACTTCAGTATAAATGCTTTATTTTTACGTACTACTTTTTTTTTTTTTAAAGATTTTATTTATTTGACAGAGAGAGAGATCACAAGTAGGCAGAGAGGCAGGCAGAAAGAGAGAGGGGAGGAAGCAGGCCCCCTGCGGAGCAGAGAGCCCAACGTGGGGCTCGATCCCAGGACCCTGGGATCATGACCTGAGCCGAAGGCAGAGGCTTTTAACCCACTGAGCCACCCAGGTGCCCCTTTACGTACTACTTTTATAAACATCCTCCGGTAGTACTGGGGTTAAAATGACTCAGCATTTAAGTTTTAAAAATTACCTCAATGTTCCTCGGAGTTGTCCATAGTTTATAATGATTTCGGCACCTTCCTTGTAACCTTGGTTGAAGCCTTGTTGAAGAGTAACTGCTTTGCCGGCATCTATTCCATCTCTATAGCCTTCCTAAAAATAAGTAATGAAGAGCTGCAGCTGTAATGAACACCAGGTAAACCACTGTAGGTTTTTCTAGAAAGTCATAGAACCAACTTGGAAAGTTGATGAAATAGGCCTTTGCTACTTACTAGTTAACATAATGGTTCTACAGCAGATGACACACACAACCAAAGCAGACTATGCCTCTCGTAAAGGTTTATAATTGGCATATCCCGCCTTTGAAGTCGACTTATTTGGCACAAATAAATACTGATTCTTATACAGCTTTAAAAACCTTGTGTTAACAATGCCTTCACGGAAAGGATACAGAGGGAGTTGCATGTCTCGCCCCTGGGCAACACTGACTGAGGTGGGTGGGCGAGAAGGCAGGGCAGTAAATAGGTTAACCAAGGTCTTCAATAATCAGCTCAAGCAGGGAAAGAGGAAACTGTGTTAGCAAAAAAGATGGATAGTGTGGTTTTAGAAATTTTGCTTGATACCTAAATTCAAATAAACTGCGAATTTTCTGTCAGCAGGGATTTTGTCCTGCATCTCCGATGGCGCCACAAGCACTCAAAGATGATGGCGGCTTACTGGTCTAACCCCCGCCTCACATAAAGCGTTTCTGAAACTGATTGCGCGGTTGTTGGGCTAAGCAAACATTTTACTGAAGCAAACAAGGGCGTATCAGGGGCAATATAAGGTTGGCAAGGATTCTAGGTGGAAGCGGACCTCACCATGTGAACTCAGCTCTGAGCGCTCCAGCTGGAAACTGAGTGTGTGGTATTAAGCTTAGTTCCAATGAACAGTGAGACACAGTAGATATGGGTAACTCACACCTAACAAATAAAAAACCGACTCCGGCGTTCCTTCACCTAGCCGCCAGTATTCCACAGTGGCTTTCCTTTATTGCTCTTCGATATTCCTAAGTTCATTTTTTCCCTAAGTCTCGATTAATGCCATTCCTAACTTCAGGGTCTTCACTCATTCAAGCACGCATGTGCACATGTCCTTCGACAGCCATAGTTGGTATAGTCAGGGTCTATGTTTCTCCCCCAGCCTCTCTGCGATCCTCATCAAACTGCAATCTCTTCAAAGTCTAGACCGGCTTCATTCTGTCTGTTCCCAGCGTCTAACGCGCCCCGTGGTTTCACACGCTTTAGAGCGGAACATCCCAGCAGGATCTGGGTGGCAGAGGGAGGGAGGGCAGCGCCGGGCCAGGCTGGGACCACGCTGTCCTCTCCTCTCGCGACCCTGACTCCCGACAGCTCCGTGTCCCTCTCCCCGCAATCCGGCATATGTCCCCCGCACCCGCCACGCAGCTTTACTTTGACTCGTCTCTGCATGTGGCTCCGCCATTCCCGCTGCACCAGGAGCGACTCGTCCGCTTCCTCGTCAAACACGTCCCCCTCCTCTCCGGGACCCCCGACCAAGTGAGCCCTTTGAACCCACGACATCACCGAGGCAACCACAGGGCTGCTGGGCGCCGGAAGCGTCATCAACTTCTTCCGGTCCGAGGGGCGGGGCGAAGGCTGTGAGTCGGGCTCGCCCGGCGTCTGCTACTGCGCATGCGTATGTGATGCCGGTGATGCCGGTGATGCCGGTGATGCCCGTGATGCCCGTGATGCCCGTGATGCCCGTGATGCCCGTGATGCCCGTGATGCCGGTGTTGCCGGTTAGGCTCGGCCGCGGCTCTTCCTCGCTGGTGTGTGGGGCTCCCTCCGTGGACCCAGTGTGGCGGCGAGTGCCTGTTGTAGGCGAGGCGGGTGGCTTCCTCGCTGGGTCGGTCCGAGCTTGAGCTCTGCGGAGGGCCACCGGAACGCTCAGTGAAACACTTTGCATCCCCGCCGCGGTCTCTGCAGTGTTGTGGGGTTTGGAGCCCCGCGCCTTGGGAAAGCCATTCCAGGTCGTTCAGGGGATGAGCGATTACCGGCCAAGGTCGCTGTCTCTTTTAGAAGCCCCCCTCAATACCTTTTATGGATTTGACAGCCGATGCTTTTTAACTGTGAGAAGCAGAGGACAAGAAGAGTCGAAAAGGTGGCCACTGCGGCCATTTTGAGATCAGTACACACAAAGAATACATTCACGAGAAGAATCCATTTCTCGTGGATTCGCGGTGTCCTTCCCCGGCTCCCGTTCCTTTTCGGATGCCCTATAGGCTGGGTGAGGACGGGGACTTGTCTGTCTACATATACGTAGCACCTGCGTGGTTCTGACACGTGGCAGATGTTGAAACAGATGGTCGTGAATGAACGGACACCAGTCGTATTGCTATTTTGCTTTTTGTGTGATCATGATGATTTATGTATTTTAGTTTCTGGTGCCAGGCTCCGTTGTAGCTTTTGGGATACATCAGTGAGCGGCAGCTAAAACTTAGTGGCTCTGCTCCGTCTTACGGTCATGTAGAATTGACAGGATAAACAGTAAGCACTGTTTAAGTAAATTACATAGTTTGTTACAAGAGCATAAAGGATATATGCTAATGAAAAAATAAAGTAAGGGGAACCATGATCGTGTGTGTGAGGGTGGGTGGGCGATTTAGTTGATAATTTTATAAATGCTTAGAATTTTGCATCATATATATAGTAATTACAACATATAGTACATATGTAGTATATATATTATATATATGGAGTGTGTGTGTGTGTGTGTGTGTGTGTATACCTACAGGTCCGTGGACTATGTATAAAAACACTTTATACTTAGCCACATAAAACAATCTTAATAAACTTAAAAACTCAGACATTTTACAAGTCAATCTCTGATCATAATCCTACAAAATTAGTAATAAATAGTAAAAGACTCCAATAATTTAAACTATTACACGGGGCATTAGAATCACTTTATTTCCTTTTGAATCAAAAAGGAAATAAAAATTAAAATGATATACAATAAACAATTAAAATATGAACACTTCCTACCAGAAAACATGGGACCAAATGAAAGTTGTACTGAGGCAATACTATAGGCTTAAATGTCATTATAATTTAAGAAAAAAGAAAAAATACATAAACTTATGTATTTTAATTGGCAACGAAATGGTAGTAAGAGAAGCAATAAAAATATCATTGAAATTAATAAAATCGAAAAATCCCCGAACTCACATAAATAAACCCTAAAGCTAGTTCTTTGAAGAGACCATTAAGATAGATGATTCCTTTCTTCTTCTTTTTCTTCTTTTTTAAAGATTTTATTTATTTATTTGACAGAGAGAGATCACAAGTAGGTAGAGAGGCAGGCAGAGAGAGGGGGAAGCAGGCTCCCCGCGGAGCAGAGAACCCAGTGAAGGGCTTGATCCCAGGACCCTGAGATAATGACTGGAGCTGAAGGCAGAGGCTTAACCCACTGAGCCACCCAGGTGCCCCCCCCCTTTTTTTTTTAAAGTATGCTCTACACCCAGCATGGGACTTGAACTCACTACCCCGAGATCAGGAGTCACATGCTTCAGCAACTGAGCCAGCCAGGGGCCCCATATGTGTGTGAGTGTATTATTTTTTACTTTTTATTTTTTAAATAAGACGTATGCCCAATGTGGGGCTCGGACTCCTGACTTTGAGATTAGGGTTCACATGCTTTGCCAAATGAGGCCAGCCAGGTGTCCTAGGTAATCCTCTTTTGACCTTGATTAAAAAAAAAAAAGAACAAAATTATACAAGGTAGAAATGAGAAAGAAGGTAATGATAGAGAAATAAATTCAAGTACTATAGTAAAATTCAAAAGCCACACATTTGAAAACCTAGGAGATGTGAATGACTTTCTAATAAAACTGACTCAATAAACAAAAAACAAACTAATTGCCCTAGAAAAATTAAAGATTAAATATCCATTATAAAAAATAGCATGAAGACTTGACACACAAGTAAATCCTTTAAATCCTTTTTAATCTTTAAAGAACAATGGATGGGGCAACTGGATGGCTCAGTTGGTTAAGCCTCTGACTTTGGCTGAGCTCATGATCTCAGGGTCTTGAAATCGAGCCCCAAGATGGGCTCCACACTCAGTGGGGGGTCTGCTTGAGATTCTCCCTCTGCCCTTCCCTCCCTTACTCGCTCTCAAATAAACAAATCTTTAACAAAAAGAACAATACATAATTAAATATTTTTTAGGGTAAAGACAAAGAAGCTCCCTAAATCATTTTACGAAGCCAGCCTTAGAGTAACCTGATAAAGATAGTATAAAAAAATTCCCAAGTGCAAGTTAGCTTATGAATATGTATTTAAAAGAGAATCCAGTACCACAGCAAAAGAGTAATTCAAGATGTTTTATTCAAGGGAATCAAACTATTGCAATATTAGATATATTGCAATATTAAATATAAGTATATTTAATTGGAATCAAGTTTTTTTTTTGAATCAACAGTTTAAAGGAGAAAAGCTGTATGTTTTCTAAGCTGCAAAGTCATTTGAAAAAATTTAACAAAATAAAATGAAATGGAAAGAAACTGCAAATTGATAAACACTTTACGAAAAATCCAACCACAAGTAGTAGTGTAAACACTCAGAGATTTCCTTGAAGGTTGAGAAAAGAAAGGCCATCTGGTGATGCCCGTTATTATTCAACATTATTTTGAAGACTCGTAAATGCAATAAGAGAGGTAAAGTAATCTATAAAATGTTGGACAGTAAGAGATGAAGTTATTTCTTTTTGCTGTTTATATGATTATATGCCTATAAAACCCAAAAGATTTCTGTTAAAAAACAGAATAAGGCCATTGGCTATAAGAAAAGTAAACAGACCAACAGCCTCTTTATTTTGTAGCAATAACCATCTAAATGTAAATGAGATAAATATTCCACTTGCAGTACCAACAGATACTCTTAGATATAGTATTTATATATTTGCTTAGTATTTATTTAATAAAGGATTTACACATGCCAGGAATATATTTTAAGAAATCAATTTTATTGAGGTATAATTTACTTGTAGCAATATGCATACATTTTGTGTCTAGAGTTTGATGAGTTTTAACAGATATATATACCTGCGTAACCACCACTGAATCAAGGTATAGAAATTTCCATCACCCCAGGAAATTTCCTCTTACTTCTTTGCAGTCTGTCCATCCCTTGATGCACCTCTGATTCAATTTCTATCACCCAAGATTAATTTTGCCAGTGTTAGAACCTTATAGAAATGGAATCATAAATGCCCTTTTAAGTATTTGACTTCTTTGATGCAGAAGCCACTTTGACTCAGTGTTTTTGAGATTCAGTCACGTGGTTGGACTTACATTGTTCTTTTTAAGTGCTAGGTACTCTTCCTGGAACGGACATACTGTAATTCACTTATTGTTTGGGTTCGTTCCCATTTTGGCTATTGCCAATAAAGCTTCTGTGAACATTTACGTACAAGTTGTTCTGTGTGCAAGTTTTCATTTCTCTGGAGTAAATGTGTGGAACTGTAAATGTTGAGTCATGTGGTAAATACAAATTTAACTTTATAAGAAACTGCCGAGCTGGTTTCCAAAGCGATCGTACCATTTTACACTCCCACCAGCAATGGATGCAAATATCAGTTGTTGCACATCCTCTTTCGCACTTGGAATCATCAATCTGTTCAATATCAGCTGTTCTGACAGGTGTGTTGCGGTATCTGACTATACTTATATTTTGCATTTTTCAGCTGGCTTGTGATATTGGCCGTCTTTTCCTGGGCTTGTTTACCATTTGCATATCTTTGTCAATGAAGTCTTTGTCCATCTAAAAAAAATTGGGTTGTCTTACTGTATTTCGAAGATTCTTTGTATACTCTGCCTTTGTCAGATATGTGAATTGTATGTTCTTCACATTAGTTGTATCCATCAGGAGACAGCCATGGAGGTAGAGTTAGGAGTTCATGAAATTTCCTGGGGGTTAGGCAACATAATGCCTGTGTGAGGTAAAAAGCTGAGGAGGCATGATTAGGTGGAGAAAGCCTATGCAAAGGGACGCTGATCTGATCCCTGTGATAGGAGATGTGAGCTAGGGAGATCTCAGAGTCCTGGGCAACATAAAAGGGAGCTTGGGAGGAGAGGGCAAAGAGGAGGCTTTTGTTAGGTGCACAGGGCCAGACTTTGGTAGCCTGGAGGTGCTCAGTTACTGGCTGGGTGATGCCCAGGAGGAGTGTGACCTTGGCTAGAAGTCTGAGACAGATGCTGCAGGTGCTGCTGGAGGCTGACAGCTGTACTCCTTTGTCAAGAATCAGATATCTTTCAAGGTCCTTTCAAGTGTGTGATTCATTTTTTCCCCAAAATAGCTATCCTTTTCCTCTTTTTTTTTTTAAATGAACTGTAAATAACAATGACATCTCCTGCATAAATTTTGGTGTCGTGATGTGAACTTACTCGAAGTATTTAGCAAACTTATCTTGCAGCTCCATATCTCTTATATAAATACTCTGTGATGAGGTCAACCTTTAGGATTCACTCTATCCCTTTTCTGTTCTTCTGCTTATCATTCATCCTTGTCTTTTCTTTCAAAGCCTTCAACAATTCTTTTTTATGTCCCTCTATTCCCCATTTCTTGC